CGTCTAAATGGAATGTTTCAAGGATTCTAGCTAAGGCGGCTTGTTGACGGATCTGATAAAGTGTGCAGATATTGAGTGCAGCTAATTGAAAGGGGATTTTGATTTAAAAAATCTGGTGGCCTTTGAGTGGTTGACCTTACTAGTTGAACGCTGAGTGATATGCGATGGGTATCGTAAACAGGAGGCACCTGGGAATATTCGGGATTTAGAAGAAGGACTAGACAGATGGGAAAAAAGTTTTTCCAAATGGGTACCTGAGACTTTAGGGCACGGCATACTTCGCGGCAGCCCACACCGACGAAGGGCTTTTTCTTTGGGAACCCTGACCGGAGCCTTTGACTCAAAAGTCTGATTCACAAGGCAGTGGGGCGTAAATCCAACGCCGGAGCGTGAACGAAGCACCCATGTGGGAGTTTCTCGAGACCTGTCACGCAAGGCCTTTGAATTTCGATTAATTGTGTTGTTCGCTGGTTCGTTGATTGTCGGTCCGCTTTTCGGGATCGGCCCTCAGCCTCATGCACCCAATGAGACAAGCGGAACGTGGACAGGACAGCACCTTATTGGCTGGGGGCTGCCCAGCTTGGGCGGGCGGTAGCTGTCCAGTGAAGTGCGAAGAATTCTCCCACCGTCGAGAGGACGCCCCAGGTACCCCGCTCCTACGTTCATTGGGGGGTTTTTGAACGGTAAACTGCCCCTCACCGTGTTTATTTGCTGGAGTGGCCTCTCCAGAGGCGGATGTGGATAGGAGAAAGCCAGGTGCCCATGTAGCTGGCTTTGTGAGAATGAGGTTTGTCTGGCCTCTACCCGTTGACCTTTCAGGCATGATTGGATCTACGGCTGTGAAAAGCCATCCTGTGTAACCCGCAGAGTCATGGAGGCACGCAAGCCATCACACCACGTCAAGGTGCAGTCTCATCGTGACGAGCTTTGTAGTTAGCCCCCATGACGTTGGCGATCAATCGTTGTTTCACGAGTTGTTCTTCATCTTTTCCTGGCATCCCATGACATTAGACTACTGGTATATACAGAAGATAAAAGTCAACGACTATTCATTAGTATCGTTGTAAAAAACAGCAAAATAAGAGAAAAAGTAAATAGGGATAACAGAAAGAAGCATTTTATCTGGAACACAGAGAGAGAGCTGTTGAGTATTCTCATGAATAAATTCAGATCAGCGATTAAGCAGCCCAACAATTTATTTGCACATCTGTCCGGTACACTAAGGGATCCAATGTCCTACTCCAGGATATCTAGAAAGAGAAAAAGTAAAATTCTTTGTTGCACGGGCAACGGAATACTATTCATGATAAAACCCTATGCAGCGCCTCACTGAAATATGACCATTTATGACTAATAATTTTACCTCAATGTACATATGTAATCTGTGATATTTCCATCAAAAAGTTACCACCAGTGGGCGTAAAAACCAAGGTTATTTTCCCATAACCAACAATCATGAAAAGCCCAATCATTGACGTGTTTTCATAAGATATATCATAGCTTAAAAGATAATTATCATATTGCAGAAAAAAATTGAATTTAAACCGACCTGGTTCTTGTCGGGGCTGTTTGTAGTGCAAACACCATAGGTTGTTGCAGAATCCAGTTTGACAGTCCAAATGGGAGACACCGTTCATTGNAAACAACACTCAGCATCGTTTACCAGCCATGCTACGTGCTAAAAAAACCCCGACGAAGTCACAAAACAAGCAGATTATGCACAATGCTTCGTGTCGATGAATTTCACACGCTTCATTCAAACACATTTTTTTACAGTAGCCATTTTTTCAAGGTGTATGGCTCAAGATAGACATTATGAACTCCACACCCGAAGGTTCACGATTCGATTCCAAGAACAGACACAAAATAGGTACCTCAAGCAGTATGTAACACGGAAGAAACAGCTGCCCAGTGCTCTTTGTTGGTATTCAACGGTTTCCATTGTTCATACTTTTTTAAAATATTTTATTTGCTGCTTTTCAATGCATTACTCTGATCTCGCTCTGTATGCACGCCAATTCATCTGTGGGGCATTTATTTCAAAGTTTCTGTCTATAAGGGAATACACATGATTTTTATTACTGCCTGCACTAGAAAGCAACGCCATGCAAATTATCCATCTGTTTATCCACATACCACATCACATGCTGCAATTAGTTTAGCACAATAAACACTGACACGATTAAACAATCACTCGGAAATTTTTGTTTACTTCCCATGTGTGTGTGTGCCCACCTGCATGTGTGTGTAATTGTCTAAACACGTGGGTACAACGAAGAGCCCTCCTGCTGAACATTCCGATGAACTCAGTCTTCTTGTTGATCCAGCTCCTCTCCGGTCTGGTCGCATACGCCTATTTTGCCGGGTGCGATCCGCTCCAAACAGGTGATGTCACAGCAACCGATCAGATTTTACCCTATGTGGTCATGGCTTTGTTCAATGGGATCCCGGTGATTAAAGGTTTATTCTTGTCTGTGATCTACGCAGCCGCATTAAGGTGAGCTAGTTTTTAGATAAAAAGCATTCGTTTTTCGATTTTTTTTTACAAAATACAACTGTATAAGATAATAATAGTTTTTGGGTTAAATTAGCTAATGACCAGGGTTAGCGGATAAGATTTTACGGAAAATTTTGTATCTATCGGTATTATTTATATTATAATTGTTGTTAACAGTATTAGTGGTGATAGCAGTTGCAGCTGTAGTAGTGGTTGTAGTAAATAGTACTTGTAGTATGATCACTTTCGAACCATACAAAAGCAATGCGATGAACATCTTTCGAGGAAATATCTGCTTCCAGGAATGATTTGATTCACCGGATAAAATCTAAATGACACTTTTCACACTCCTATTTTATGCGTGTTCGATCTCTCTTTCTTTCTTCCTCTGTAGCACGGTTTCCTCCGGTGTAAACAGCCTTGCCACAGTTCTGCTCGAGGATATTATTCGTCCGTTGCATTTTGCAATCAAAAAGAATGATCTCTCGAAAAGAGTGAAAACCATTTTGGCTTATGTATTGTGTAAGTCGGAGCAGCAAATCGGATCATCGTTTTGAGTAATCCGTTTGCCCGTATCTATCACTTTTCTCGCGAAACAGACTTTTCTAGCTCGAGCGGTTCAATAGTAAGTAAACAAATAGCAGAGAAATAATTTTACAATCGAATGTTTGACTCGAGTGAGCATGCTTCATAATTATTGATGTGCTCTACCCCAAGTTTCGAATTTCCTGAGTGTGTGCTAACCTAGATGAACTGTGGATTGTGGGAGACAATCTAGTTTGACGTGGATGATCAATCCACATCAACAGCACTTGTTGTATGCCACTACTCACAAGCAATAAGGTCTTGAGTTGTTACCCGTGCATGTTTTCCTTTCATCCTACTACGCAGACTCAGTCAGTCAACGGAAGTAAAAACGATAGTCGTCGTCTAACAAATTTGTTGCGCCCGGCAAGTATATTTTAAATGCTGCTCATTAATAACTGAGGGTTTCTTCCAGGAACGTCAGTTTGCTGAAAGTTATTGATTATCCAGTCGTCTGGACAGTAATGACCGTTTTAGTCCCATTTACTTTGCATACAGAAAATATGTATTATAAATTAACGCGAAGCAGCAGAGATCAAGAGGTAGACGGGAACATGAGAATGCACAAATCTTGAAGCGATACACCGAAGATATATCATGATAAACTAGCGCATATTTTTTCATCATTCATTTCGATCGCATAACGCGAATTTAAGCGATGTTGCAAAGTGCTGAAGAACCAACCTTGTCAATCAAGTCTGCCTATTCTTAAGCCAGTAAGAAAAGCCAATTCTGTCAGGTCTTGAACTTCTTTGTTCTCGTTAGACTGAAGCGGATTATTTCTTTGTTATCCTAGAACTAATTCTTTCTCGGAATCCGGCAAATTTGATGAAAACTGTTTCTTTTTGCTCGAGGAATGTGTAGCAAAGTAACCTACAATAAAATCTAAATAACTGGTGGGCAAAGCCTGACCCAGACCTCATCAAGTCAGTTGTATTTTCAACTAGATTCCTGTCTTGCAGTTCTCTGTAGAAAAGGTAGTATTCGCTGCGATGCTTTACATGAACTTCAAAAGTTGTTCCATTTTAGTCAAAACCTATTACGAGCATGTTTCCTGAATGCATTCATTGATCAGTTCTGAGTTCGGTGTGGCGGGGCCTTTGAAATTGGTCGCGAGGTCCGTTACGTCGTCGGACTCGGAATTATACAATCACTCTTCACTGGATTTATCTGGGATACTCGTCCTTCGTTGCTATAGAAACGTTATGTGATTATGGTCATCTTAAATTCTGTGAAATACTCTGCCGTTTTCATGAAGCAACTTCGAACTTCTGGCCACCGGATTTTACCTTCTTTTGGCATATCGTTTCGTAACAGGGAGAGAAGAATTTACGGAAATCTCGAAACATTTCCCAGAAAACAGAGCTGGATGGCAGGTCGCACTACGCAAACGATCAGTTTCAGACATCTGCATTCCAGCAGTCATCAGCAGAAATGTGCGCTGCCTGCTTGGCAACATGGCAGAAGTAATAGATCTGACAAGGAGACGTGAATATTCAAAGGTTGGAGTCGTAATGCTTCAGGAAACTGGGCTCCACAACGAAATTGATGATAACGTGGATAAAATTGATAATTTCTCCATCTACCGAGTTGACCGACCCGTTCCGGTTCACAAACGAGGCGGTGGTGTTATCACATACATAAATGACAATTGGTGCAAATCAGGCAAACGAGTCTTTATGTATTCTACCATTTTTATCAATACTTCACTGTACAAATGCAGACCTAAACACCTCAGTAACTACTGAAAAATTATTTTTGGTAACATTTACATTTGTCCTTCTTGTTCCACTGATCATTTTAACGAATTCACAGATATTTTCTCTGCCGCTTTACTAAACTACGTAGACTCCTCCCTTTGCATCGTGTGTGGTGACTTCAATAGGTTTGATTTCACGTTTTTGACAACCCTTGGACTACAAAACGTTGATAACTTTCCGACCAGAATCCAGGCTTGTCTTAATTTGTGTTTCATTAACGACCTGAATTTATTTAACTTGCGCTGTCGTTCCCTTATTGGCATCTCTGATCATGCAACACTGAAATTATCTCCCACGATCTACAGTAGATCCAATCATCAGTTTTACACTCGGCATCGTAATCGTCGTCTTCGTCGGCGTCAATGCCAACCCGAAACTCTTGCTAGACTAAACGATATATTAGATCAGACAGATTTCTCTTTATTTGTACACAATGACCCCTCTATATTTTGTGATACCCTGACTGAGTATTTGAAGTTCTGTTATGACACGTGCTGCCCGTGGGAAACTTCATACATACGGTCAAACCGTTTTTCGTCCCCCACACTTAAACGATTGCGTCGGAAGAAAGAACAAGCTTTCAAGGCGAAAAGGTATTCTTTGGTGAGAGACCACTCGAAAGCAATCAAGGCTGAACTGCGGACAGTAAACGCCGGTTATTTACATGCTCTGCTGGCAAACAAAAACCGTCGGGATACATGGAAAAATACATGTTTGAGTTCTGCGGTCTCAAAACAAAGGGGAATCTTCCAGCTGTCAATGCGGACGATATCAATCGCCAATTCAGCAATGCTGAAACCGACACCCCTATTCCATTCACAGC